TTGTGATCGCCTTCTTGTGTTGTTCTCTCTCCTCGCCGTCTCCTCCACCGCGGAGAAGTTTGATTTCTTCTACCTTGTTCAACAGGTGATGCATGTCGTGACCGGAGATCGATCGGCCGCCTGACCGCCTCTGATGAATTTAATCTAGCGATCAACGACGAATCTAATGAATCTAACGTTTGTTCCTTGTTGATGCATGCAGTGGCCGGGCTCGTTCTGCGACACGCGGCAGGGCTGCTGCTTCCCGGATGACACGAAGCCGGCGGCGGCGTTCGGCATCCACGGGCTGTGGCCAAACTACGCCGTGGCCGCCAGGGCCTCGCTCGCGCGATGCTCGGCGGCGATGCCTTCCTCTCCATGGTGGGGCGGCGGGGCAAGTGCTGGCCGGAGTACTACTACGACGGCAACGAGCTGAGCCCGTGGGAGATCCGGGACCTGGTGGCGTCGCTGGACCGGAGCTGGCCGACGCTGTCATGCAAGAACCGACGCAGCTTCGAGTTCTGGAGCTACGAGTGGAAGAAGCACGGCACCTGCTCCAACCTGGAGCCGCAAGACTACTTCGCGCGCGCGCTGGCGTTCAAGGCCACTGGCCAGGCACGACCGGGCGGCGATCCTCGCGGACGCCGGGATCGTGCCTTCGGACACCGAGACGTACCCGGTGAGCAGCGTCAGGGACGCCATCGCGCAGGGCACCGGGTTCGTGCCCAACCTGGAGTGCAACCGCGACGCGGACTGCGAGGCGCAGCTGTTCCAGGTGTACCAGTGCGTGGACCGGGACGCCAAGGACCTCATCGACTGCCCGCTCGCCATGCCTACCAAGTGCACCGACCGGGTCAACTGGTCAAGTTGCCTGTCTTCTGATTCCCAGTTTATGGCTGTCGTTTGTAATTGTAAAAACGCATGCAGATCGATCGGTACATGCATGTGTGCGTATGTGATTTTGAAAGCGGGTTCGAATAATGTGTTTACCTTTGCAATTAATTGGAGATATGTTTATGTAATATCGAAATTTGAGGTATTTTGCTAGGATGGTCTAGCTACGGCTGTTTTAGGTCGACCTCCTTCGGCACTCGATAGAAGCGCATTATCTGTACGATTAAACTCTTCGTCTTAAACGCAATGATACGTAAATCTTTTGCGTATTCTCGAAAAAAAGATATGTTTGTGTTCACAGCCATCAGCGCTGTCGGGTACAGAAGGTTAATTATCCTTGTGGCAGTGTATTGAATAATGTGACTTTTATAGTAAAAAAAACACGCCTACATTGGCAACCACGTATAATCAACCGCATTCGAGCCTTAGTGCCACGATTCATACACAATCGGTTGTTTCCGACGATTTGTTATGTTGTGGGTTGAATTTGAAAATCACAACGGCCATGGTACGTCTGGGAGCTCGGGTGCACGATTGAGTTTCGAGTCCAGGACCAAGGCCGCCATGTAGACTAGGCTCGATCTGCTAAGTACAAGGCGCTAGACAATGTCAAATTGTACTGCCTGCAATGAGTTTCCTGTGGTACACATGAGTGATGTAAATGAGCTAACCTAGCAGGTCGTAGATTATTTATTTGTCTATCTATGTACGTATCCTATACTTAATATATGGTTCTATTGTCACACATCGATGTTGATGGCGTCAATCTAAGCAAGAGATAATTAGTTCATAATTTCATATTCATATATAATTTGGATAATATATTATTAATCGAAACAATAAATACGTGCGGCACGCACGTGCATATTTGCTAGTGGCTTATAAAAGAGAACATAGGCAGTAATAGAACACGGATCACATAGGCCAGTAATAATGTTGCAGTCAATCAACTTTTCATATCACAAATCTGACAAAACGTTGTTTTTGGTAGAGAATCAGTTTCTGTTTGGTAGGAATTGTATTATCTCCAGAGAAAAATGTTTTTTTAAAAAAACTACAGGGCCTTAATGGGCTTGGATCCCTTAGAATATATATTTTGATTTGAAGCAGATCCGCTGTGGTAATTTGCTGCCGCTTCTGCTCCAGAGTGGTGGGCGGGATTCTTGCTGCCACGGTGGCCGCCGAGAGTTTCCACCAGCGTGTGGTTTTCCTTGGTTACCAGGTAGAGGCATCCGGCTGTGCGCCTGTGCGTGCTGTGGTGGTACGTCGTCGGCGTCGGCCGCCAGGGTTGTGGCCGTACTGCCGTGACGATGCTCGAGGCCGGCGAGGTCATTGGCTCGGATCAGCTAGTGGGCCTTATGCGGATCAACATGACAACTTCGATTTCTTATATCGGAAATGGTCATTGTGTTGCGTCGGCCCTGTTGGCTTCGCTGATTTGTTACGAGAGAAAAAGTACTATGACATGATAAGTTCAAACAAACAGTGCCGTACAACATATTTTAGGCTCAGCTTTCAACCTGCAATGCCGCAGTGTAAAAGGGAGGCACTTAAGTCTGTCTCCATTGCCTGACGATAGCTCCTACTTAAGTTCATTCTGCAATGCTCTTCTGCCCGGATACTCTTCTTACGAGTAGTTAAGGATTTATATCATGTTGATAGGTATTTGTTTCCATACAATTGAGGGTTTTTTATCCCTAATCTTTGTACTCTGGGTTTAATGGTATATAATCTATATGTCCTTTTTCAAAAGGGAAAAAAACCTAAATTAGGTACTCTTCACTTTAATTGTGCAACTTACTCGTTACTTGTTTTTTTTCGATAACTTACTTGTTACTTGTTGGAGGTAGATGACATCTCAGAAGGCCAGAAACAATTACGGGTTAGGACGTCAGTTCGTCCCCTCCCGTCTGGACATGTCTTCCCCAGATGCCCAACGACCCCCTTAAATCCCCTCGTCCGTTTCTAATAAAAAATACGCTCGTCGCTCCTATCCGCTCGCCTGCCGCCTCCGAGGAGCAGCGCTCGGCCACCGGACTGCCAGCCCTGCATGCCAGGCGCGGCACGCGGCCGCCTCGGAGCCGCGGCGCTGGATGCCGGCCCTGCCTGCTAGGCGCGACGCTCAGCCATCGGACTGCCTGCCAGGCGTGGCACGTGGCCGCCTCTGTGCTGCGGCTGCCCTCTGCCTCCTTGCCGCGTCACATGGCTGATGCCTCCCTATCGCCTCGCGTAGTCGCTGCCACTCCACATGCCTACAAGCCGCCGGGCCACTATCTTCGCGCGAACTCCACATGCCGACGAGCCTCCATTCTTCCCAAGCAGCAAGGAGATGTTGCGATGTGCTGAAAATGCATGTTGCAAACATATGTTTTATGTGTTTCATAGTTATGTTGCAATTGTTTCATACGGATATTGCAAAAGTAGATCGAGATGTTGCACATGTTACAATGGTTGTACACGTATGTTGTAAAGGTTTGTTTCCAATATTTCATCAGTGTTTTCGGATGTATGTTGCAAGTATGTTTTTATCTGGATGTTGCATACGTTTCACACATATGTTGTAAGTGTTTTATCTGGATATTGCACATGTTTTGCAATGGTTTTCAAGTGTTTTCCAGGTGTTTTTTTTAAGTGTTTTAGAAGCATGTTTGAAGTGTTTTATCTGCCTTCAGACGTATGTTGCAAGTGTTGCATCTCGATGTTTCAAAAGTAAATCGGGTGTTGCATCTGTCTTGTCGTTTTTCTATTGCCTCGCATCGGTGTCTTCTCCTCCTCCGGGCGCCGGCTGGGCATCCGCCGCCCCCTACTCTCTTCCGATGCTGGTGACGTTCACGATGGCGTAGGCAACTTACGCCGGAAGTGGTTAGGGAGGGTGCAGGCAGTCCCCGCACGGCATACGCGTGCCGAAAGCGGAGGGGGTGCGGGTAGGAAGCAGGATGGGACTCAGGTGTCTGGACAGAGAGGCGCGGGCTCCTACGTGCGTGTGGACGCACATGAATGGAGCAGCAGGCACTGGCGTCCGGACGCGGACGTCTGGGCGCTAGTAAGGCGCAAAAAATTAAGTGACCTAAAAGTATATTTTGAGAGTTCAGTGTCCTGAACGACACAAGGAGATAAGTTTGGAGATGCTTGTGCATTTAAATATATAGTTGTTGAGAATACAACTGCTGCTTATACACGCCATTGTAAAGTAATTTCAAATTAAAACCTTTGAATGACCTTAAACCTAAATCACCACCTTTGCCCTTGCTCACCTCATTGGCTCATTCTGACATGTGCCTTCTTTATTCCAGTTGCACCTGTCCTCGAACACAGCTCACCTGTTCGGCTGTGCCTGTGGTGCCGTAATGTTGTAATGCATCAGTTCAGAAATGAAAAAAAGAAAAAGAAAAAACAACTATCCAACAGCAGAGTATGCTATTCATAATTTCAGTTCCAAATTTGGCATCCGTACCACTACAGAACTTGGTGGCAAACAAGTTGTGTGTCATGCATAAGTTCATCCATTCCAACTTCCGCAATTATGCAGGGGTTACAGAGTTTCCAAATTACACAAAAATTACATGCGACCTACAGTGAAAATGTAATGTAAAACCTGTACAGTTTGCAATGTGATCGATACTGATCATTACATATACACAAATCAGTCAACCTTGGCATCCATACAGGGAGTACAGAAAAACCGGTTGGAAGCAAGCTTTGTTCCCTCCCATGCTGCAATCTAGAGAAAAAATTGTAGGCAACCTACAGCTAACAAAAATACAGTAAAACCTGCACAGTTGGGCTTGTGGTTGATACTGAGCCACTGACCATTACAATCAATCAAATCGGCACTGACTCATGTTGATTTTGTTATTTCCATGTCACTGTACAAGGTCTTTACCAATTGTCAGAATTAGTGGGAGAACCGAACGGAGAAAGTATAGTGCTAAGGACAACAGCTATAGGTCATGTCAATCCTCACTATCACTGTATCACATAGTTCAGTGAATTGTCTTGCTAATTACCGGGAGCATCGCCTGCTCCTGAATGTTGGAACAGAGAAAAAGCCCAACTGACTGGGGCACACTGACTTGCAGGGGGTAGTATAGCAACTGTACAAATGCTGTTTGTTGCTCTATGTTCAACTACATGAAATAGCTCAGAGTTTGCTTCAGTTTTGAAATCCCGCCGCCAAACTTGTTGTTCCACTCTATAAACTTGTCCATGGTACTTGAATTAGGCGAAAAGCTGGCATGCACCTACAGTAAATTGTTCAGTTGATTATTCGGTACTTGATATATAGGAAGCTAAGAGGAAAACACCTCTTCTTAAATCATGATGCCAATTCATTAGCGTGCCTCAAATAAGTCATGATTCCCTCACCTGGCCAAGCGCAAATTTGAAGTCATCCATTTCAAGTGGTCGAATGTCCTTGGTTCCATACAATGGAGGCTCAGGCCAACCTTCAGCAATCGCCAAACTCTTCTCCTGTATGATAAAAAAAGGGACTTAAGAGCCACTACAAGGGATGAAGGGGAAGAGACGCGTCGAAAAATGGTTAACCAAAGAAAGAGATTCTGTGCGCACCTTTTTCTCCTTCTCCATGATTTCATCGAGGGGGCGAAAGGCTGCAGTTACACACAGATTCTGTAGGGAAGGGAAACAAAATGGTAAATATGCAATTCCATCTCCCCACTGAAGAGTATAAGGCACACCGACGTCAGCATACCTTCAAGTCAGTCCATAAATATCCACCAGCCATACTGGCAACTAATTTGAGGTCCATATCTGGTGCCAACATTTCTTTGGATAGTATTACTTTTAAAATCTTCTCTCTACTCGACGCATCAGGAACGCTCACCATTAATCTGCAAATAATAATCAGTGGCAAGAGCTAAGGAGTGGACATAAATCTGTCTAGTTCAGGGGATCATAGAAGCCTGCCTGCAAGGAAACCTTCGAATAACGGCATCACCAAGGTCAAATGGCCTATTTGTGGCTCCAAGAACGGTTACATGTTCTTGCTCTTTAGTATGCAAACCATCCCAGTTTATCAGGAATTCATTTTTGAACTTGCTCATTGCTTCGTGCTCCCCTGGTCTTTCTATCTTTCCTAGGAAACTGTCAACCTGTTAAAGAAAAAGTAACAACTGTAAGAGCAAGTGCACAACACACTCAAACAGAATAAAACAATGAATAACCCATTTGGGTGCACACCTCATCAACAAATATTATAGCAGGAGATAATTTACTTGCCAAAGAGAAAATTGCCTTAACATATTTCTCTGCTTCTCCCAACCACTGAAAACAAAATTAAAAATGCACCAGATTTAATAGTAGAACAGACAAAATTAGCATGCAAAAGAACAGTTGTTTTTGTTTAACAGTACCTTTGATGTAATGCTTGATACTGACAAGTTGATGATGTTTGCACCTGCCTCAGTAGCTACCGCTTTTGCAAGCATTGTTTTACCTGTTCCAGGAGGTCCAAAGAGCAGTATTCCCTTCACAGGCTGCCAGAAAGCAATGTGTTAGCAGTACTTCCATATATGTAAATGATAACTACCAGGCAAATATGCCAGGCTCAATTTTCCATTTTGAAACTAGGCAAGCACCTTTCTTAGCTGCCCTTCGTTGAACAATTCAGGTCTATGTAGAGGGAGCATCACCAATTTCTTCAGTGTCTCTTTCACATCGTCCAGGACTCCGATATCCACAAAGGTTACTCCAGGATCATTAGGTGAGATAACATTTAGAAGAATTTTTTCCTCGAACACATTCTCTGTGAGCATACCCTGACAAAAGAAACTTGCATGAATTTTTGTGCCTGGGACTTTTAACATATACAGAGAGATGGAGGGGTCACCTTTAGCACATGCTTTGGGCTCTTATTTTCACTGTGTGTTCTCTGTACCACACTGAGTCCATACTTGAGGCTGTAATAACAACACTAACATAGCATTCCCCAGAAAGAACTCATCGAAGCTTATATGAAAGTCTGATACAACATTAACATTGCATTTTTACCTTTCAATTGGAAGTTCCATTTTGACACATTTTGGACGTCCAAAGTTCTGAAGGTGATGACTAATAGCATATCCAACAATCTTATCCACATCTGAAATTAATTAGAGCTATATAAATGTTCAATAAATTTATTATTACAAGGGGCAAAAATAAAAAAGTTGGTCCATGAGCAACAATGGAAAGAACAGCTTACCTTCATTAGTCAGTAATCGATCATTGATGGATAATTCTTCAAGACCAATGCATTCAATTTCTCTGCTAGTCAGAAACTGCAATGAAAAAACAGAGTGTCATGGGCATACTATAGATGGCCTTAATCCAAGCAGCACGACCATGCCGATGCCTGGTGGCCGCAGCACAAGGGCAGGGACAAACAGAGGAGATAGGAACTCTTGATCTATTTCTTTATTGCTTTATCAAAATGGATACAATCCCCATATATATGTATATATATAGATGAGAAGATTTGACTGTTAAGAAACATATCTCTAAAACTTAGGAAATAGATAACTCAATGTTATCTATAATCCTGTGTGTCCAGGTTCATTGTGTCTAGATGCAGTCTTTAGTAGTGCAGATTTTTAGCTAGTAGTTAAGGAGAATAATAGGCAATCATAGGAGTTATGACTGCAGTAATTAGGAGGATATCATGGTGAGGGCTGAGAGAGCCGCATCAACCAAAAGGAGGGAGAGAGGGAGTGATTCCCTAGTGTGTGTTAAAACTGAGGCAGTGATTTCCTAGTGTGTGTAACACTAAAGAGAGAGGGAGTGATTTCCTAGTGTGTGTTTGTGATAAACACTGAAAAGAGAGGGAGTGATTTCCCAGTGTGTTTGTGATAAAAACCGAAGAAAGAGAGGGAGTGATTTCCAACTCAAGGTTGGTACTCCAATAAATGCTCCTATTGATATGTTTAAAGAAATGGTCTAATTGTATCTTACCATACGAATATTACTAATGTTGGCCTTATCTTTAAGGGTTTCAGTATCTTGTTCTAGTCGTTTCTTCAAATTTGATATCTGTGCTCCATTCTGCCAAAAAACAATATATGAAAATCTCCAGGTTAGATAAAGTACTACCTACAAACACAGTGCCTAACAGAAGTGCTTATGGATGACACTACCTGTGGAAGATCAATGGAAATTTTATTAGGGAAAAGATTATTTAGATGCTTTGTTGACTCTGTAGCACTTCTGCTTCCTTCAGGCTTACTTCCAATGGCTTCCTGCATGTTTAAAACAAACTTTCAAGAGATATAAAGTGATATTAACAGCACTGACACATAAGATTACAACAGCCCTAAAAGCGTCCACTGTTGCATGTCATTACACTTTATAAGCCCACAAAAAATAATGCAAAAGGGTGACAATGTTACTGTGAAAAATTTAAGTGGGGACTGATTGCCAGTAGGAAGCCACACAACATCAACAAATCGAGGATATAACAACAAAACAGTCCAAAGCACTCAATTAACATCTTTTACACAAAGTGGGAAAACATGGGAACATGACTCCATGCCAACTGGTAAATTCAAGAATCATCCAAGTCCAAATAAGCTTTTTAGAGAACAACCTGTATTTTCTCTGACTCTACCTTGAGCATTCTTTTATCTTAAAAACTTGTGCTTCCTCAAAGGTGTGCAAGTATACCTGATCCTTGTAGCTCTGTGCCTGAGTGTGAGACCCAATTATCAGAACACCAGGTGGAAGGTCATTGATCAGCGATTCTCTACATTTGGTGAATGACTTCTCTACATCCTTGAGTAACACAAACAAATTACTGCTTTTGCTTTCTTCTGAAATGACCTGAAAGGCAATTAAACTGAATACTGTATTGTTGGAGGCAGTAAGAGAATACATTTTAGTGATGCTGATCACCTATAACAGCCATTACCTCAATGAACTTTCCTAAAGCAAGGCTATCAACTTCACCACCAGAAGAGTCTAGCCGAAGTTCAGCAGCTGCAGAAATATCAAACAACAAATCGCTCATAAGACCAAAAGAGTATCAATAGGTCACTAAATCCACATTGCTTAAGAAGTTCAGACTAACCATAACAAAATAAGCCACGATTTCGGTCACATAAACCTCCAAGATCATTTCCGGCATTGATAGGGTCGTCAAATAGAACTCCAACTTTAGAGGACCCATTTTTTTCAAAAGCAAGTACTACTTCACCCCGATAAACATAAGAGCTGTAAACAAATCAAACAATTCATCAGAATGAACCAAATGTATCTCAGTAGTAATATAATCAAATGACCACCACAACATGATCTATCAATGTGTTGTAAGGGTGGAGTATAATTATACACAGCTCTCCTGCGTGTTCAAGAAAACAAAAAATGATTTATAAATATCCAAACCAAATCAAGTCCACTATGGTATTGATTTAAGTTCATGCATTGAAACCTTATACTCTTTCAAAAATATTTAGTCTACTGAAATTCTATTTATGATGAGTTTCCAAATGCTATTGCTATATTATGTATTTTTTTCACTTATATTAGAAAAAAAGCTCAACTGTGTCCTTGTTTAGACTTTATCAAAACACAAGAATACGAGCTTCCAGCATTAATTTTCCAAATCAAGTCCTTCATTAATATAATGATATGCAGCTCTCCTGCGTGTTTGAGAAAAAAAACCATTAATTGTACGTGATACAAATTAATCCTTCTTCAGAACACATAGAAAAAAAATACAAAAGAATCGGCAGAGATCAAAGACACAGCAGTACTAGGTTCAAATGAAACAAGAACAGATAGCTCTCAATTTTCAGCAATAATACCTGGGTGTCAACTTTAAGGAACCATCACCAATATACTCTACCCTATCTCCTGCATAACGCAAAATATGTAAAGGTTTGATTACAGTGCGAGTAAAATTTTGATGAATAAAAGAAAGGGAGCACCAAAAACCTTCTCTGAAAGTGTTTTTTCTGGATGTTCCCACAATGTCAGCTCCTGAACTAAAAGTTGGTGCATCATCACTCCTGACATCCTTTAGGGACTCTTGAAGTTTTGAAGACATCTGCAGGGAATTATTTCAATAAATAATACTTCTGTTGACATATTGGGCAGCTAAAGGGTACAGTAAAAACTCTGATTGTCCATATAAATAAGGGAACCTATGTTGAACTTACACCACACAGAATAAGAGAATCAAGTATGAGAAGTCTAGCATCAAAGTGCTTTGCAAGCGCCTTTATCAATGTTTCCTGGTACAGTTCGGACCCTAGAAGCATGATTGTGCAAAATAGTTAGAGATGTACAGAAAAGCAAACACCAAGAAAATTGTGAGGCAGCCATAGCAATGTAACACAACTCCAGGGCATTAGTTTCTCACCAGCAATATAACTAAAATAAAAAAGTGATGAGAAATACCTGATGGACCAGATAATAGAATTCGCTGATTTAGAGATGAAACTTTTTGTGAACATTTGTTGAACTCCTTGTCCATGTGTACGAATGCAGACAACAAGAGTATCTCCTTTGTACTATCACTGCAAGAAATGAACACAGATTAGTTAGAAAGAAGGTGCTAAAATACAGATTGCTTGCTCCTAGTATTTTGGGAAAATTACTGAGATCTGATCAACAGTATGAATAGGAAAAATATCCAAATGTAAATGAAGATAAAGACTAGAAGATAACAGATAACTCTTAAAGCGAATCCACAAAACATTAATCTAGATTTCTAGAACTAGCAATGACCTGAGATAATACGGGAAATTATCAAGGGTTACATGGATATCCTTTGGGCTAAGAATTCCTTGTTTCAGCCCATCCTTAAAGGCTTGCCATCCACTCGCAGATAAAGTGGCTGATGGATTAGGACTCCCGAAATTGCTCTGATTTTCAAGAGCTTCAAAATTCATCAGTTAAGTCGGATGTCAGATAAAATTGGTCCTGCAATATCAGAACTGGTTACCTTAGTTGCAAACTTACCAGTTTTTTCTATTCCTTGGTTGTTCTCTCTAGATGCAGTAGGGACTGCCAATGGGCCCCCCAAATTGTTATGCCCAGATGCTAATATGTTGGGCCCAGTCAGAGGATGCTGAAAAATCTGCCAGCAGGTTATGGATCACTCCAGGATAGCAAGTCAAACTAACAAATCTGACTCATTCTACCATTGCTGAAGTACGTATTAGTTAGCAACCAAATATATGGAGAAAGGACAGAGGAATGAATTGGACATGTATGGTGCCAAATCTGGTAATAAGGATACATAGCCATGCACCCCACTTCGACCAAAAAAAATCTCATCCCCTCCACTGAGGGGAACTTTGGCACCTCGGATGATTTGTGTTCCATTTACTACAACCGAACCACCCTTGCCTGTAACCTCTAACTCCCATGGACCACCTCGCTGGAATAAGAAGCAGCAAACTGTTTACAAGAAGCCAAAGAAACATAACAACTTAACTGCATTCTAACAGTGCAGAAACATTGAAGGACCTCAAGATGCCGCAACCGCAACAGGCATAGATTTGTGTCAACAGTTTGGTCATCCAAAACTATGTGACATTTGTGACCTCTGCCAACAGAAATTTCGCTGACAGAGAGTAGAACATGAGGAGTCTGCAATCACAGATGGTTGATATTCAGTATGAGTTAATAGATTGGTAAAAATCAGTTAAGCAATTTGAGCATTATGACCAGATGAATATAAGGAACAAGTGCACTCGTTACCAACAGTGGGAGAAACTTTTAATGAGCAGATCTTGGCTGATTAACCACAAGAATGGAAGGTCAAGATCTCTTAATCATGATGATGAACTTACAGGCTCATTCACACCAAATGCAGATATTTTGTCCAAACCTTTTTAAGAAAAACAGGCAATTGCTTGCGTCATTGACACCAAAACAGTTCTTTCAAAAACAATTTAACCAACACTTGACTTCTACAGATACTTTTACTTTCAGCATCCTGCAAATCCTTGAGTGATGCTGATGCATTGAGAGAAACTATCAGCGAACAGTTGCAAGCTAAGGTACTTCTATGACAAGCCCACAGAAGGAACCAAACGATACTGCAGAAATGAAAATAGTGACAAATAGGCCAGCCAAATTCCCCAAAAGAAAAAAAAAATCCCTGATATAACAACTGAAAGCCAAGAACGTTCAAGAATCTGCACCAGAACTTCACACCCTTCTTCCCAATTGCCAAAAATCAAGAACACTTGCAGTTGGCCGCAAGCAAGCCGTGACCTGTAACATGGTACAAGAACTGCAAATAGCGAAACCCCAAGAACCGCCAAGAAATCGCAGGCGAGCTCCAAAATACAAGAACACGCGAACCATCGCACGGCAAGAACCATCGACAGACGAGAAGTTCAAGAACTACCAGGAAGAGGTCCCGACGATCACCTGCGAGTACTGCGACAGCATCTTCGCCCACAGCGCCGGCTCCAGCTCCTTCACCCCCGCCTGCGAATCCAGTCGACATTATTAGCCCCAACAGAGACGCGGTCCACGCCTGGCCGGCCCGGCTGCCCCTGGTGGCCGACTATGTGGAGTTCACCTTGCTTCTCTTGTTCCCCGGAAGGGCGGAGGCCGAGGGCGCCGGTCGCTTGCCCCTGCCGGTGTCGTCCTTCCCTCCTCCGGCACTTCCATTGCCTCCGGGGGCCGCCGCCGCTGGGGCGGCGCTCCGGTGAGTGTCCTCCATGGGTTCGTTACACTTTCCGGAAATGGAAGCCGAAGCCTCGATGGATTTTTTTTTTTTTTTGTTTTTTGCGAGAGGAAAATAGAAAATGCCGGAGTCGGAAAGGGTAGGAGGTTTATTGGGAGCGGGCTAGGTCCACTTGTTAGGGTTGTTTTTTTATCTTAAATTCGGCTCTATAGCCTTATATTTGCACCAAACGACTCAGCGAACTCGCGAGTCACAGAGACGTTTACAAGATTATTAGGGAGAAGACCATCCCACACCTGGACTTGGCCTGAGTCCCATCTCAACTCTAATCTTGCTAGCTCGTGCGCAGACGAGTTTAAACTATGGGGTACAAGAGAGAATTTGGAACAAATAAAATGCTCATGCAAGTAGGCCTGGAGGTGTGTACATGTGCAAAGAACTTCCTCAGGAAAAACACAGGTACATTTATGCATCTAACTCCCTTCTCAAACTCATGTTGGATCTACAACACTGGGTTTGGAGAGCAATAATCTATGATGGGCCCGTGTCTGTGCCTTGGTGAAGAAATCTGCTAGCTCAACCCTCTGAAGGCACATGGCGGAGCGTCACAACCTGATCATGCACATGCAATCTCATGTAGGAAGCATCAACACCAATATGTTTGGTGAGCTCATGCTTGACCAAGTCCCGAGCAATACTGATCGCACCGGTGCTGTCAGAGGAGAGGAGTGGGTGCAGTGGCAGGCACACCAAAATCCTCAAGAAGCCACCGCAGCCATGTCATCTTCGCAGTCACAGTCGCCATAGCACGTAGCTCAGCCTCAACACTCGAGCGTAAAACTGCAGTATACTTCTTGGTTTTCTAGGCAATCAAGGAAGAGCTAAGAAAAACACAATAAGGTAAGAGAGAGCGGCGATCAGAGTGATCGCTCGCCCAGGCCGCATCGGAATACGCCTGAAGCTGGAGAGACCTAGAGCAAGGGAAGAAAAGATGGTGTGAGATAGTTCCACGAAGGCACCATAGAACATGAAGGAGGTGAGCATAGTGGAGCTAGGTAGGAGCTAAGACAAACTGACTCAAGATATGAATAGAGTGAGAAATGTCAGGACGGGTGATCCCGGCCAAGGTGGACAAGGCTCCCAACAAGCTTACGATAGCGAGTGGGATCAGCAAGTGGTGCACCATCAGTGGGTCTTAGGTGGACACCAAGCTCTATAGGAGTATCAACAGTCCGGTGATAAGTGAGAGCAGCACAGGAAAGGAGAACCTGAATGTACTTGTCCTGAGAGAGAAGAATACCATCAGATGTGGAGGGACCTCAAGACCAAGGAAGTAATGAAGCGGACCCAAACAAACATAAGGAATTTTTCACTAAGATGCTGCTTCACAAAATCAAGGTACTGAGAATCATTGCTCGTGATGATCATGTCATAGACATAGAGAAGAAGGGTGCGACCACGAGGGGAAGTGTGGACAAAAAAATAGGATCATGGTTACTAGGCATAAAACTAGCATCGATGACAACAAAGGAGAAACACTCAAACTAGGCCTGAGGAGCTTGCTTAAGGCCATAGAGAGAATGGCGCAACCGACAAACCAGGCCATCAGGAATAGAGTATCCTGGAGGGTGGTTCACAGCGAATAGCGGTGATGGCAGAGGAGCTCTGCTAGAGCTGTCCGCTTGGCTCAAAGAAGAAGGGAGAGGCGGGGATGACCATCACGCTGGTGGGCAGCTCCAGCTCAGAGAAGACCATCGCGTAGGAGCCTGCGCTCACCCTTGGCAGCCGCGAGGCTCGCTGTGGTAGCCATGCCCACGTAGGCTGTGACGATGACGGATCCTGCAGCGGCCTCATCCGTCGATGGGGCTCCCGCCAGAGCTGTGCCCGCGCCGGGGCTCACAAGGCAGGTCCGAGCACCAGAGCTCTCGCCGGAGCTACGACCGCACCGGGTACACGCCTGTGCTGGGCTGCGGGTGGGAGGACAAGCGGTGGCGGTGCCTCATGGTCTTGCGAAACAGTCCGATGGGAGAGAAACTGGAAAAAAAGAAAAATAACGAAACATTTGCTTTCTTAACTTGTGGCAAGTGGGTAATTTCTTTGAAGTTGCCCACCTCCAAAGCAGGTGAAAGCAGGGGGACACCTGTTTTTGGATTTGTACTAGAGGAAAAGCTACTTTTCGACCGAAGCACCTATAGATTTACACCTCTTTGATTGGCTTTTGGCTTTTAAAAAAGCAAAAGCAGGTTGGAAAGCCCAACCTAAGCGCCTATGTATGCCTTTATCCTTCGCGTTCTGTTTCCTATTCAGCATTTTATGTCTCCCGTGGAGCCACCAGGGGCATTCGCGGACCCAAGCAGGCTCAGAGTGGGCAATCGGTTTTAACCGAGACTTCGGTTCGGTTTGCTTGGTTTACATAAATTTTGGTTTCCAGAAATCAAGAGTCGATCGGTTTCTTGCAAAATAAAAAACCGACGAGATCGGTTTCGGTTTCATCGGGCCGGTTTCTCGGTTCCACCGAACGGACAGCAAAGAGAGAGGAGAGAACTAGAGGACCTCATGCCTACTCGTAGAAGCCCGTCGGCCATGCCTCGTAGCCTCCTCGCCGATGCATCACGCCACCGCGGGGGAGCCGCGCCGCCCCGTCGGTCGTCGTCTGCTGGAGCCAAGCTAGCCTACCCTCGTAGCTGCAAGTCCTGCTCGGTGCTCGCTATCGCGCTTAGGCGTGGCCTCCCTGCCACGCGTTGGCCTGCCCTCGCAGCTGCGCTGCATGCGCCTAGGCCCCTCCGCCCCTGCTTGCTAGACGACGACGACGCCGCTCGCCAGACGCCACCGTGAAAGGTCCCTGTATGGTTTTGGTAATTGAGTGACAACCTAGGTGGACTAATTATGTCTTGGAGATGTTGCAAAGCTCACACATGTGATGATGAAGGAGCTCATTGCACATGAGACATGACATTGAGTCATGTGATCAAGGTGGAGAAGATCAAGACAAGACTTGGCTTGATGGACCGGTTGCAAGCGTGAAGGGCAAGTCGGAGGCTTTGGAGCGATGGATCACGTGGCGGTGAAGCTTGAGCAAGACTTGGCGCCAATGGACGAAGGCAACGGTGAAAAGCAAGTGAAGTTAAGATCGATGAACCAATATGATCACGTGATGATATGAAGTGGATCATATCATTGTTGATCGTGTTTGTGCATGTGCTGCATCGACATTGGAGGAGATGGAATGGAATGCGCAAGGCAAAGGTATAACCTAGGGCATTTCATTTCACCGGTCATAGGTGTGTAGAGAAGTTTATGACCGGGTTTAGGATAGATGGCCGTACTATCAAGAGGGGCAAACTTGTTTACATATCGGTCATCTAGTGCCACTCGAGTGATCTAACTTTGCATCGTCGCTAGGATTGAGTGGCGTGGCAAGTTGAGTGGCTAATCCTTTGGAAAATGATTGTGAAAATGCTAACACACATACACATGGTGGTGTACACTTGGTGGTGTTGACACATTTGCAGAGGAGAAGAAGTTGGAGTTGATGTGGATCAACTCGGTGAAGGAACGGAGGCAAGGGTTCGAAACTCCACCAGCGGAGTGTCCGCCCGTAGAGTGCGGACAGTCCAATGGTGCCACCAGCGCACTAGACAGAAAAGATAGGGTCTCATAGAGTGCACCGAACGCTGGGGTCCTACGTCCGGTCAATGGTGACAGACAGCGTGCAGGCGTCGGTCATCGACCGGACACTGGCGCTGGAAGTGACCGGACGCTGGCTGTGTGTGTCCGGTCAAGGTGACATGTGGTGACGTAGGTAGAGCAGAGTAGCTGGTAGTGACCGGACGCTGATGCTGCGTCTGATCGCGACTGACCGGACGTGTCCGGTCATGTCCGGTACCTTACTGGAAACGACCGGACACTAGGGTTGCTGCGTCCGATCAGTTCAAGCTGGAGCGTCCGGTCGTCAGATGACCATTGAGATTGGATGAACAGTGTTTGAAGAAGGGGACACGTGGAGTGCATCGCACGACCGGGCACTGAGGTCCAGCGTCCGGTCGATCGGACTGGAGCGTCCGGTCGTCCCGACTTTTGCCCAGTGAAGGGGTAACGGCTCTATTTGTTCGTGGGGTTATAAATAGAAGCCATGGTCGGCCTTGGGCCATGAGCTGAGCACACTAGAGCCTTGGTAGCTTGTGTAGTAGTGCTTGGGAGCCCTCCATCTCACATATACTTAATAGTGATCATTCGATTGTGTGAGAGAGCGATTCTAGTGCGATTGCATCATAAGGTTGCATCACGTGGCACTAGGTGATCGAGTTGCAAGCCGATGGTGCTTGTTACTCTTGGAGGTTGCCACCTCCTAGACGGCTTGGTGGTGGTCTCCATCGAAGCCCGCAAGAAGCTTGTGCGGTGCTCCGGAGAAGAGCTTTGTGAGGGGCATTGTGCTCGCCCCACGGGAGCCGCGAAGAGCAACTCTAGTTGAGCGTGTCATTGAGCTACCCTCACTTTTGGGGTAGGTTCTTGCGGTGCCCGACGTGCAGGCTTGGCGGGTGATGCCAATTAGCCGCTGAACCACTAAGTGAGCGGTCGACACAACGGGGACGTAGCGTGTTGGCAAGCACGTGAACCTCGGGAGAAAAATCATCGTGTCAACCTTGTTCTTCCCATTGGTTTGCATCCTTGTTACACAAGCTTGTAATTACTTTCATATACATTGTGCTTGTGTAGTTGCTCTTGTAACTAGTTAGCTTGAGTAGCTTACTAGTTACCTTCTTGCTTGTGTAGCATAGAAGTAGCTCCCTTGCGTGGCTAATTAGGTTTGTGTAACCTTGTTAGTCACTTTGCTTAGTTTGTGTAGCTAAGTATTTGCGCTCTCTAATTTGACATTGGTTGCCTTGTTATTGAGCATTGTTAGTGAGCATTAGGTGGCTTTGTGCTTTTGCTTACTAGCATATGTAGGAGTTCCCTTGTTACTTAAAGTACTAGTAGCATAGGTTTGTGTGGCATTGCTCCTAGAATTGGTTAGGTGAGCTCTAGCTAGCTCGGCA